TTTCCTCTGACGGTTTGTTTGATGGGGGTACTGGTAATGCCCCCACCTATGAACTAGGAGGCCTACATTCAAGTCCCACCAACTCCAGAGGTGGGTGACAACGTCTCTTAACAGGTTGACTAAATAATATCTGAAACTATCTAACCACATCCTCTACATTGGGTTTGAATAAGGAATGTAGGACACCCACAGCAAAATTTTCTTGAACCTGGTGTGGGTTACACCAGACTGTTGGATACAATATGTATATTGTTGTGGAGGCTTGTAATATTATTTTCATTATTTAAAAACTTAAGTTCAAATGAGAGGAAAATTATATATAGTTTTCACCTTTTTAACCTAATTAAGTTTGACTTCTAAAAGGTCAAAGCATTGTTTGGAACAGTCAATTTCCAAGAAATCATGTGACTTTAGCTAATTAGCTAACTAGCTATTTAGGGAGATAATTGCTCAGATGTTTGTAGACTTATGTTTTACAATCAAGGGTCGTGTGGTGGCTCAGTGGTTAGCACTGCTGCCTTAGAACACCAGGGACATAGGTTTGATTCCAGCCTTGGGTGACAGTCTGTGTGCAGTTTGCATGTTCTCGCTTTGTCTGTGTGGATTCCCTCTGGGTGTCCTAGTTTCCTCCCACAGCCCAATGATGTGCAGACCAGGTGGATTAGCCATGGCAAATGGCAGAGTTATGGGGATAGGGTGGGTCTGGGTGGAATGCTGTTTGGAGAGTCAGTGTGGACTTGATGGGCTGAATTCCACACTCTAGTGATTCTAGGGTGAACGAGAAGGGCTCTTGTCGCATCCATATATCTGAGCCAAAGGGCCCAGTTTCAAGTCTCACCTGTTCCAGCTGTGTGTAATACCATCTCTGATCAGGTTGGTTAAAAAATATCTCCAGATCAAACAAAAACCCACGACCCCACCATTGTATCAACTACAGTCACTGAGCTCGTTTCATCTGGTGATCTCCTTTGCACTGCCTCCAAGCTGATAGTCCCCCAGTTCTGCACAGCTTGCTTCTACCTCCTTCCGAAAATCTACCAGCAGGATTGCCCGAGCAGACCCATCGTTTCAGCCTGCTTCTGCCCCACAAAACTCATCTCTTCCTACGTTGACTCAGTATTTTCTTCCCCTGGTCCAGTCCCTGTGCACTTACATCTGTGATTCCTCTGACACTTTACACCAGTTTTGGAATTTCCAGTTTGCAGGCTCCAGCTGCCTCCTCTTTACCATGGACGTGCAATCCCTTTACACGTCCATTCCCTACCAGGAGAGTCTCGGGGCTGTCTGCTTCTTCCTGGAGCAAAGGCCTGAACTGCCCCTACCCGCTACCACCCTCCTCTGCTTGGCCGAGCTTGTCCTCACCCTCAACCACTTCTCTTTTAACTCCTGTCGTTTTCTTCAGGTCAGAGGGGTGGCCATGCGTATTCACACAGGGCGCAGTTATGCCTGTCTCTTTGTGGGGTACGTGGAACATTTTCTTGTTCCAGTACTATTCTGGCCCCCACCCACAACTCTTTCTCCGATCCATCGATGATATCATCGGTGCTGCTTCCCTCTCTCATCTGGATTTGGAAAAGTTCATTGATTTTCGCTTCCAATTTCCACCCTGCACTCACTTTCACCTGGTCTACTCTGACTCCTCCCTTCCCTTCCTTGACATCTCTGTTTCCATTTCTGAGGATAGACTGGCCACTAATACTTACTATAAACCCACCAACTCCCACAGCTACCTGGACCTGTCCTTGCACCCTATTTTCTATAAAGATTCCATTCCAGTCCTCCATCTCCGCATATGTTCCGATGAGGCCAACTTTGACAAGGGAACCTCCAAAAATGTCCACCTTCTTCCTCAAATGAGGATTCTCCAACACTGTCGTCGGCAGGGTCCAACCCATCTCCCACACTCCCGCACTTCTGCCCTCCCACGGTCTCTTCCCTCCCGCAACAGCGATAGGGTTCCCCTTGTCCTTAGCTACCGTCCCATCAGCGTGCACATCCAGAAGATTGTCAGGCACCATTTCCCCCATCTCCAGTGAGATGCCACCACCAGACGTATATTCCCCTCCCCTCCCTTGTCTGCCTTCCACAGGGGCTGTTCCCTCTGGGACACCCTGGTCCTTCAGTCCCATCAGCACCTCCCCACCCCCCACCCCCCGTAGCCACAGGGTACCTTCCCCTGAAACTGCTGAAGGTGCAACATTTGCCATTTACCTCCCTCTTCCCCAGTATCCAAGGGCCCAAACATACCTTCCAGATGAAGCAACCCTTTACCTGCACTTCCCAGAATCTAGTCCACTGCATTTGCTGCTCACAATGTGGTCTCCTCTACATCGGGGAAACGAAGCGTAGACTGGGTGACTGCTTTGCAGAACATATACTTTCTGCTCACAAAAAAGACCCTGTGCTTCCTGTTGCCTGCCACGTTAACACATCACCCTGTTCCCTGGCCATCATCTCTGTCTCTGGCTTGCTGCAGTGTTCCAGCGAAGCACAACACAAGCTGGAAGAACAACATATCATTTTCTGTTTGGGGACCCTGCAGCACTCTGGACTCAATATCGAGTTCAATAATTTTTGGGCCTGAACTCCCCCATGTCCTAGCCCCCTACCCTACACACCAGGCCTTGTTATCACATAGTCTGCCGTTACAAACTACCTGTTGTTAGCCACAAACAGCCTCCATTAACAGCTATTCACCCACCTAGCCTGATTGTTATTGACTGCTTTGTTTGTCCAACTGTTCTTCTCTCTCTCTTTATCTCTACTCTTCTCTGTTCATTGCTCTCTCTCGCTCTAGGAAAACCTACATTTTCCTAGCTACCTTCAGTTCTGAGGAAGGGTCACCGGACTCAAAACGTTAACTCTGATTTCTCCTCACAGAGGCTGTCAGACCTGCTGAGCTCTTCCAGCAGCTTCTCTTATTATCTCTAGACCAAACCCTACTATAGGTTCTCTGAAAGAATCCCATGATACTAAAGTTGCTATTAGTTGTAGTCTCCCGATAGTCAGGACTGGAGAGATGTCAGTTGCTTAGAAGACAAATTCAAAAGCGGAAGGTGTAGGAAGATATTCTACAAGGCTGCTGTAAAACATCAGTTTAATGAGCCCCTGTTAAGTATTAATAATGAGTTGAGATAATGACTTGTTTAAAGGTCTCAGGGAGAAATGTTAATGAAGGTAAATAGCATTAGGTGAATGCAGAGACATTTGCCAAAGGGAAGCCAGTTGTAGCCGAACAGGAAGCTTTGGCATAGTGATAGAGGTGACCCCTCATGGGGGATTGAGTGTCTGTAAGGTGGTTGTTAGGGTAAAGGGGTTGGCACTTTTTTTTTCTGACATTTTTAATAGGTTTGTTTCAGTAGATCTTTTTCTTTCACGTGGTAAACTTTGAGGTTCTTTTGTTAAAAGTACGTTGGCAGCATCCCGTGCATTTGTTCAATGACTGACCTCCTATAAACAAAAAAAAACTCTAGGATCTGACTTGTATAATATTATCATCAGCTGGGATCATGCAATATGCAAGAACTTCCAACCAATGAATTTGGAAGCCAGCTTAATTTTAACACTTTATCCAAGAGTGCAGCCCGCCCTATTTGTCCTTGAGAAGTTGGTGGGGCTTCACGATGTGATGAATATGTCTTTCTTATTTCAAAAATGTACTTTATTCATAAAAAATGTCTTCATATATATATAGTCACAAATATCAAGGAAATAAACAAACATTGGAGTTTGACTCTATCCAAACAAACCAAATATATCTCTTACACATACCAGACTATATTTGCATGCACTTGAGACACTAGGAGGGTCTGATAACTGAACGGACCCCCATTTGCCTTCAGCAGGAAGACCTCGGACAGTGGTCTTTCCCCACTGCCCCTTGGCAGCAGCTGCCCCAAGCTTTAGTGCGTCCCTCAGCATGTAGTCCTGGACCTTGGAATGTGCCAGTCTGCAACACTTGGTTAGGGTCAGCTCCTTTGTTCTGGAAGACCACCAAGTTTCGGGCAGACCAAAGCATGTCTTCCACTGAGTTGATGGTCCTCCAGGCACCACTGATGTTTGTCTTGGTGTACGTCCCAGGGAACAGACCGTACAGCGCAGAGTCCGGTGTCCTGGAGCTGTTCAGGACAAGCCTTAACAAAACCATCTCTCTCCAGACTTCCTTTGCAAAGGCACATTCCAGCAGGAGATGTGTGACATGTGTACCCCATCACTGCCACTTCAAGGGCAGCGTGCGATGGCTCAGACTGACTGGGCATACATGAAGCACCTCCCAGGTAGTGACCTTCTGACCACCAGCCAAGCGATGTCTTGGTGCTTGTTAGAAAGTTCTGGTGATGAGGCTTTCTGCAATGTGTTTCTACAATGATGTTAAGTAGGGAACACCTGGATCTTAACACAACGATGATGAAGGAATCACCGTGTACATCCAAGTAGAATAGTATTCAAATTGGAAGTGATTGTATTGTCATGTTTCTGTTGTCACTGTCCATTGATTTGTTAGATGTTATGTGTTTAAGAGGAAAATGCATTGATATAAGGCTGGAATTCTAGAGATGCAGAGGAAAAATTTGAGAAAAATATATGGATAGGTACCTTGATTAAACAGAACTGAATATGACATAGATAAGTGCAGACAAAGGTGAGGCACTGGTGTGTGGAATGATAACTGTTTGAGTTATAAGGAAAGGCTGGATAGGATGGGACTTTTTTTACTAGAGTGTAGGATGTGATCTGATAGAAGTTTATAAAATAGTGAAAAGTATGGATAGAGTTGATTGTAGTTGTCTTTTCCCTAAGATGGGGAATTTCAAGAGTAGGGGACATATTTTAAGGTGAGAGAAGAGTGATTTAAAACAGACATAAGAGGCGATTTTGTTTTTGCACAGAGGATGGTTCACATGTGGAATGAACTTCCTGATGAAATGGTGGATGTGGATACAATTACAATGTTTAAAAGACATTTGGATGGATCTATGAATAGGAAAGGTTTGGAGTGATGTGGGCCAGGAGCAGGCAGGTGGGGCTAGTTTAGTTTGGGATTATGTTCGGCATGGACTGGTTGGACAGAAGGGTCTGTATGACTGCCAAAGTATTGTGGAAGGACCATAGTTCAGGCTAGTTCAAGATTAGTTTTTACATTCCTGTGCTTTTAATGTGCCTTTTGGGAAAAGAAGTTGGCAAAGTTTCTTCAATTGTTGCTCGCTCAGAATCTTGTAACTCTGACCTAACAGCAATGTGGGTGCACTTTTCACAGACTGCAGTTGTTTAAGAAAGTCACACTTTCCAGAAAGAAATTGGGTGGCAACAGATGCCTTCTTTACCCACGCCCTAAGAATTAATTCAGTGCAAAGGTATATGTTGAGCCTTTGTGAAACACTATACCTGCTGTCACTTGGGGGGAAAAGAAGCCTGTAAAACTGTAACACTGTCGTCCTTTCTCCCCATCATTTCCAATCTATAGCCTGCTGCATGGTTTGTAGCTACATTGTATCTAAAATACACAAGAGTGCACAATTCTCTGTTCTCTTTAGCCTTAAAGCTATAACCACTGCTGGTATTGTCCTAGGACTGCGTGATTCTCTCTCTCCTCCTTATCTTGACAGAGCTGATGACCTACTTATTCAGAATAAGTTAACAGTTTTCGCTAGATAAGCAAGTCATGGGAGCAATTTCAGGCTGGCGCTGGAGAGAGTTGCTCCGTCTGGAGGTTGCCGAAGTTCCCTATTGCATTTCCGGTGATGAATTTTTGTTTCCCCTGCTGATTATTGCTGGTAATTTCTAGCCTTCCCTGAACTTCTTTGGAGTTTGTCAGTCTTTAGGCAGTGGGATTGCTGGGTTGAGGGCTTAATGATTTGTGATGTTAGTTCTTCAACTTTTTTTTAACAAGAGGCATTGGTAGTTTTATTTTAATCTTTATCCATTTTGTGATGTAGTGTGTTGAAGCAAGGGTGGGTTCAAGGGTTGAGTTCCACCACCATTTCAGTCTACCGCCCGTGTGCTGCCTCTTGGGAAGTAGGAGAAACTGAGCTGACTGAGATCCTTTTGTACGAGGCGAGCACACAGTCACGTTCAGGCTTTGTATACATGTTGCTGGAATACAGTTAGAATGTTTCCGCAGTCAGACTGGGTTTGTCAACAATTTGCTTGCAATTTGAAGGAACGCTGGAAACTGAGCAAGTTGTTGAAGCGAGTAGTAGGAGGTTGCTAAGAGGAGAGAGACCTTGCTGCCTTGCTGGGCTACAGTCAGTCATCCGTTGGAACTATTGGTAGAACAGTGATAGTGTCCAATGGTAAGTTTAAAAACAGTTTCTAATAATCCCGTTCAGAGTCACGAGGTTGGTATCATTCCACAGATGCAGTAGGGGGCAGTCTTAAATCTGCAATTGCATTGAATTATAGAGTCATCGAGTTGTACAGTATGGAAACAGACCCTTCGCTCCAACTTGTCCATGCTGACCAGACATCCTAAATTAATCCAGTCCCATTTAACAGCAGTTGACTTATATCCCTGTAAACCCTACCCATTCATATATCCATCCAGATGCCTTTTAAATATTGTAATTGTATCACTTCCTCTGGCAGCTCATTCCAGTACCACCCTCTGCGTGAAAAAAGTTGCCCCTGTGGTCCCTTTTAAATCTTTTCCCTCTCACCCTTAAAACCTATGCCCTCTAGTTTTGGACTCCCCTACCCTGTGGAAAAAGACTTTGGCTATTCAACCCTATCCACACCCTTCATGATTTCATAAACTTCTATAAGATCAGTCCTCAGCTTCTGACGCTCCAGGGAAAATAGCCCCAGCCTATTCAGCCTCTCCCTATAGCTCAAACCCTCCAACCCTGGCAACATCCTTGTAAATCTTTTCTGAACCCTTTCAAGTTTAACAATATCTTTCCTATAGCAGGGAGACCAGAATTGAATGCAGTATTCCCAGAGTATTCCAAGACAGGTCATTATGGCCCAGTTGCTTCGTTCAAACCTGCTCCCATCTGTTCTATTAGCCCATTCCCTCCTCCCCACCACATCCAGTGTATGCATCCTGTTCAAATTAACTGTTTAGGTATAGTCAAGACAGAATGCAGCAGTTGAAAAAAGACAGCTCACCACCATTTTCAATTAGAAATGGGCAACAATTGCTGGCCTTTATCAGCAATATTCGCAGCTCGTTAAAGAATCTAAAGCAAAATAACTGCACACCCTGTCCTTTTTCAAAATAATCTCGGTAGAAATGAACACCTGTGCTTGGCTTTTGAAAGAGACAAAGGGAGTTCACCTCTGGGCTGCAAGTATTTGATTAGGCAGTCTACTCTATATCCAGCGTCTGCTGTAATTTAAATCGAAAGAACAGCGATGCTTGTAAATCAGGAACAAAAACAGAAGTTGCTGGAAAAGTTCAGGTCTGGCAGCATCTGTGAAGGAAAATAAAATCAAGAGTTAACGTTTCGGGTCCGATGACCGTCAGAATAGAAATTTGCTCCTACTGTATCTAACCTGACTGGTACTATTTGATGGCAACAACCTCCATTTGGAACTGGTTGGAGTGGGCAGTGTTTTGGCTGCTTATGACATAACTTACTAACTTTGTACTGTACTGCATTTTCTCTCTGCATGCCTTTCCACCAGTCATGCTGCTGCACTGCTATTCTGGAGCTATGAGAAGGTGACTCATGCCGGTCAGTGGTATGCTTCCTTTAGTTGAGTAGCTGGCATGATGCCAAGGCTGATGTGTGAGACTCTCTCTCTGTTAGTTAATCGGCACATGCTGGTGGTGGGGGCAACAGCATGCAGCATTGGATCTCGCCTGCACTGCAAACAATGATCTGTTTCGGACTTGTACTTAGCTGGTGCAGTTCCTGCGACCTGCTTGTATGTGTGCACTCGCATTTGCAGCCTGGTTAGCCCCTGAGACAGTGAGTAATGCCTGATATTTAATTAAGACACCGCTGATAGAATAGAGAAGAAAAATGGAACACCACCACGGTATTTTAAATTTAAACACCGTCTTTGACGCGTGTGGCGATCACAGCCTGTGAAAATAAACAACATCTGTGTGAGGTTTAACAGTCACACACCAGGCGGATATGTACGGCAGGGAAGATCCAGATGTGTAGCCAACGAATGGCATTGACTAAAGGAGTATGACGTGAAAATCTAGACCTGTACCTGTTGTCCAGATGCACAACTCAAGTCTGACTTTTTCTCCTCTCACTTCCCTTCAGTCCGTGATTACTTGCTGCAGTCTTTTTTTCTTCACTCTTCATGTTAAGAAGTTTTCGCTCAGAATCCTAGCCCCTCGATTGTCTCTTCTTCATTTCTCCTGACCCAAAACGTCAGCTTTCCTGCTCCTCTGATGCTCCCTAGCCTGCTGTGTTCCTCCAGCTCCACGCTGTTCTATCTCTGACTCCAGCATCGGCAGTTCTTACTGTCCTCTGGATTGTCTCTCCTGGTTTTGTGCTTCTGTTGCCCTTAGTGTGGGACTTTGTGAAAGTCACACTTGCCTTTGACAAATCAAGGTGTTTTTGGTTGGGGAGGCAGGGTGGCTCAGTGGTTAGCACTACTGCCTCACGGCTCGATCCACCCTCGGGAGGGGGGTGACTGCGTGGAGTTTGCATGGTTTTCCCCGAATCTGTGTGGATTTGCTCCGGTTTCCTCCCACAGTCCAAAGATGTGCAGATTGGAGTGGATTGGCCATGCTAAGTTGCCCAGGCTAGATGGGATAGCGTTGGGAAATGCAGAGTAATAGGAATCAGGAGGTGGGTCTGGGTGGAATGCTGTTCAGAGGGTTGGTGTGGACTCGATGGGCTAAATAGCCTGCTCCCACACTGTAGAGCTTCAATGATTAATCACACCTAACGCACAATGCTGGTGCAATTTGACTGGGCTTAATATCTACAGGAAACTAAGTAACTTCACAGTAGGATGAATATTCATGCAGAATAAGATCTAGCACTGGATGGGGAACATTGTAAGCAATTTTTGATTTGAAGTCAACACTTTTTTCCTGGAGTTTTCATACAATGCCACTGTTGGCAGCTGGAAGATCTTTTGGGAGGGCGAGACAAAGGGGAAGAAAAGTCTTGGCAAAATATCCCTTTTGGTGCATCTGTCTGTGGTTGGCTTCCTTCAGAGAAAGTGTTAAATAAGAAAGTGTTTGTATAGAACCTTATTACAATGAAATATCACGAGTACACCAGTCTGTAAGCTGCTGTTGCCTGCTCATGCGCTGCTTTGCTCGTTGTGAGGCGGGTAAGGGGTCAATAGGTTCATTTTGATTGGAAGAGTAAAGTTGATCCAGGGTTTTCCTGTGATGTCCAGCTGCACAGCAAGTCTGGTTGCAGTTTAACAAGTGGTTAGAATGCTAAGTGGATAAGCACAAGTGAAATCAGTGGAGAATCCTTCAGACAGCAAGCATAGTGGTCAGATTTGCCTGCTGTGGTGCTCTGTAATTATGACTGGAAGAAATAGCTTGCGTGTGTCAGCAGTGTGTGTGACTGGCTCCGAATTCTTCCGTCACAACTGCTCTTGATCCTGCTTTTTTTATTCTGTAAAACCTTTTCGACAAACGTCTCCTCATGCCAACAGTAGCCAAAGAAAATAAACAGACTTTGTAACGTATCAGACAAAACCAAAAGGGACAGATTGGCTGGGATTTTGCATTGGTTGTAATTTTATTTTGTGTTGGAAATTTTGAAGTGTGAGCTCAAAGAGTTCGAATCCCTGCAGTGTGGAAGCAGGCCATTTGGATCCACACCAATCCTCTGTAAAGCATCCCACCCAGGCCCACCCCACTAACCCTGCATTTCCCATGGCTATCCCACCTAACCTGCACACTACGGGGCTATTTAGCATAGCCAATCCACCCTAACCTACACATCTTTGGACTGTGGGAGGAAACCCACATAGACACACGATAAAACGTGCAAACTCCTCAAAATCGGTTGCCCAAGGATGGAATTGAACCCGGGTCCCTGGTGCTGTGAAGTAGCAAGGCTAACCACTGAGCCACCACATTGGTGTGGGAAGCAGTGCTTTCTCGAGCACTGACATCACTGCTTAGAGAACAGAGAGTAGTTCTGTTGGGATAGGCTCTATTGAACGAGGCCAGAGCTGGTAGCTTGGCTGCTCCTATAACTAGGGCTGGGGACAGGGCTTTAAATTTGAGGTGGGGATGCAGGGAGGGAGGGTTCAGATGAATGGAGATTTAGAAATTTGAAGAGAGATCAGGACAGCACGATTGTGCAGCGATGTAGGGTAAGGACAGGAACGACTGGAGAGTTTAGCACTAATTGTGCATTAGCAAATAAGGTCAATGCAGGAAGTAATTAAAAGTGAAATTAAAGTTTCTTTATCTGAATGCAGGAAGGATTTACAATGTGGTTGATGAGCTATAGGCACAAATAGAGGTAGATGGTTTAGATTTAATCGCCGTTACAAAGACATGGTTGCATTGTGATTGAAGGTAGGAAGTAAATATTCCAGGGTGCAAATATTTCAGAAAGACCGACAGATTTGGCAGAGGAGGAGGGGTGGCTCTGGTAGCAAGATGAGCTTACTGATAAGCAGTGTGGCTTCGGAAGTAGGATCCGTACAGGTAGAAATGAGGAAAATCAAGAATCTGGGCTGACTGAGGGAGGTGGTGGCACAGTGGCTCTGTCACTGGTAATCTGGAATCACGCCACATGTGTGGTCAAATCCCATCCTGCGTGGTTAAGTTTGAATTCAATAAAAATCTGGAATTTAAAAAAATAACTAACCTAATGGTGACCATGGATCCCATGAGCAAAAACAGAAGTTGCTGGAAGCTCAGCAGATCTGGCAGCATTTGCGAAGAAAAAAAATTGGAGTTAATGTTTTGGGTCTGGTGATGCTTCCTCAGAACAGAGGACCTAAAACGTTAACTCTGCGTTTTAGGTCCTCTGTTCTGAGGAAGGGTCACCAGACCCAAAACATTAACTCCAATTTTTTTTCTTCACAGATGCTGCCAGACCTGCTGAACTTCCAGCAACTTCTGTTTTTGTTTCTGATTTACGGCATCCGCAGTTCTTTCAGTTTTTACCATGTAGCCCATGGTAGCTGTCATAAAAAGCCAGCTGGTTCCCTAATGTCCTTTTTAGAGAAGTAAATCTACTGTGTTTGCCTGGTCTGGCCTACAGATCCACAACGATGCAATTGACTCTTAGCTGCCCTTTGGTCTATCATAAATGTGGGGCTAGCCAGCAATGTCCTTATCTTATGAATAAATAAAAACACAATCTGAAAAAGCTGGTGGAAGTAGATTATTAATTCCCTATTATGTACAGGTATGAGACATTTGAAACCGTTGTTTCCTCCCATTACCAGATGGTATATTTTTTGAAAGAAAGACGTGTTTCTGAACCCCCCTGAGTGTGTGGAACCACTTGAAAAACAGCAGCAAGTGTTTGTGAGTTTAATAACCATGAAAATCTAACGTTATGTCACTCACTCACTCACCCACACTCTCTCACGCTTGAACACAATATAATTAAAGAGAATATTGCAGTTTTACAAAAGAATAGTTCATAATTCATGTGACTGGCTGGTCTTAGAAAATGCCTGGTGCTGGCCCAATGAAGAAGAGAACTTCATGTGTGAGAATCAAGTTGGATGAATTCAATATCTGAAGATATACACCAGAGTCATTGCAGGAACCTTTCAATAGATGGACTTTCTGTGGGTCATGGATTTAATGTTCTTCTTTGCTCTTTCATGGAATGTGGACATCGTTGATGGTGTCAGGAATTTTTTGCCCATCCTTAATTGCCCCTGAACTGAGTGGCTTGTTTGATTATTTCAGAGGGCAATTTGCAATTCAGCCACTTTGCTGTGGATTTGGAGTCATGTGTAGGCCAGATCAAGTGAGGGTTGTAGATTTCCTACCCAAAATAGTGTGAGTGAACCAGATGGATTTTGTGCAACAACTGATAGTTTCTGATACTGAGAGTAACTTTTATATTCCAAATTTACTGGTTTGAACCGCTGACACCAAAGCAGTGCCTGGGCTTCTGAATTACAAGTGCAATGACTATACCACCATCACTCCTGGAGGTCAGTTTGCTAGAATGTGGACTTGAAAAGGAACATATGTGAGACCTTACCATCTTACTGTGTCCAGTTCTTGAGGGATAGATGTTAATTCCCTCTTAAGATGTTGCTGGTCTGGGAGATTTGAGTTGTAAAGAAAGGCTGGAACTTTTTTCACTGAAGCATTGGGGGTTGAGAGGCAACCTTGTAGAAATTTATAAAGTAATGAGGAGTATAGATAGAGTTAATGGTAGTTGCATTTCTCCTAGGAATGGGGATTTCGAGACTAGGAGGCATAATTTTAAGGTGAGAGGAGAGAGATTTAAAAAAGACATGAGGAGGCAAATTTTTTACAGAGAGAGCGGTTCGTGAGTGGAATGAACTTCCAGAGGAAGTGGTAGAAGCAAGTACAGTTACAACATTTAAAAGATATTTTGGATAAGTACATGACTAGGAAAGGTTTGGAGGGATATGGGCCCGGAGCAGGCAGGTAGGACTAGTTTAATTTGGGATTATGGTTGACATGGACTGGTTGGACCAAAGGGTCTGTTTCTGTGCTCTATGACTCTGACTCTATAACTGCCAGAACAGCAGCATCGGCAGCTAAGTTATGCCTTTCTGCAAACCAGCACTCAGGGAGACCAACACAGGATGCCTTACCATCTGGTTTCTCACTGCTCCTTACCCGATATGGTGTTGCCCATAGCTTGATTATTGTTTCCAGACATTCACCTAGGGGATTGAGACTGTTAGTGTCTTGGTTTCAGAATGACCCATTTGAGTTAGGAAATACCTTTTAGGAGTTGAGTACTAACACCTGGAGTCTAGACAGTCCATAGGCTCAAAAACTGCCACACCAAGAGTCAGGTGATCCTTGGCAGCCACCAGTCGATGTTAAAAAGCAAAGTTCCAAATGATTCCACACTTGGCACAGTTAATGCTGTAAATTTTATGAATATGATATGCCATCACTCAGCACGACACATTTAACAGTAATTATATTGGTAGAGCATTCAATAATAAAGTATTGGAGCTTGCGATAATTGTGGTAGACTTCAGTCTTCATGTAGAATCGGACAATCAGCTTGGTAAGGGCAGTCTAATACATGACCTTATGAATTGTTTATTTGGTTGGCTTTCTGGAGCAATAATTATGAAATCAGTTAGGGATGAATCTATCTTAGATCTAGTATTGTGTAATGAGGCAGAATTAATTAGTAATCTTAGTAAATGGTCTTGTAGGAAGTAGTGATCATAATGTCATTGACTACCATGTTAAGTTTGAAACTGACATAACAAAAACAAGAACTTAAACTTAAACAAAACCAATTACATAGGCATTAGGATAAATTGGCTAAGGTAAATTGGCCAAAGGATGTGGTGGTGAATGAACTTTGGGTAACATGTAAAACAAAATCAATTCAAGATATTCAATGAAAACACATTCCATCAAAAAAAACTAACCAAGATTCATCCCTCAGGATATTAAGAATATTAGACTAAGACAAAAGCATTATAATGTAAAGAACAGTGGCAAATTACATTTGGGAGTATGTTATAATCAGTAAAGTGCCATCAAAATGTTGGGGGGGGGGGGG